TATATATGGATGCATGTATACACACATTGTATACATGTCGATATTTATCTATGTATTTATAGCCAGGTATATTGAAATGTAATTGCGTGTGTATGCATTCAAATAACTCCAAGTATTTGCATACGACATAAACAATTTGATTAATTTGTAGGTAAATATTCAATATTTACTGTTTACGTGATAGTACAGGTTGGAGAAATTTTAGTGTGTATTGTATTTCATTGACAACTCAAATAATATAATTATTGAAAACAAGATAATAACGTAACAGGGAGCTTTCTCCGCAACATCTCAGTGTAAACACATAAGACCACACACACTCGGTCAATTTCTTATTCTTCCATTTTTTTTATAAACAGATTCGTTGAAGGATACGGCTTAAGATATAATAAACAGAATTTTCTTTCTGTTATAAGAAATTATTATTTTTTCTTTTCTTTTTTTTTTTTGCCCAAATAAAAATGTGTATTCGTTCAAAATGCTTATCATATGCTTTGTTTTTCTTCGTTTTCGTATTTTTTCACATTTTTTCTTAATTTTTTTATTTTTTTATTTTAGTAGCTAAGCCACTCGTTTTAACGCAACGTTCTCAATCAATCATAAGAGAGCTTTGAAAAGCAGAAAAATTGAAAATAAACACATCAACTAAATTGCTTAGCAGATCGGATGAACAGTTAGGTATCATTAATAAAATTCTATTTCAAAATTTAGAGAGATATACCAATACATCAATCAATCAATATTCTTTTACGCAATTCTTTTAAGAACAATTTGCAGTTATGCTGTTCAAAAGGTGATCCGTTGTCCAAAAACTTCTTATTCCGCACTGAATTTAAAATTCTGTCTTTTCGAATAACACGGACTCTGCATCTTCAAGATTCTTTAGTCCAGCAAAAATGTCCTCTTTACACGAATTTATTTATACGAATTTCCAATTAAAATGCTCAACGTGATGTTATATGTATTTCAGCGATATATCTCTAAATTAAAATCAATCAAATTATTTTATGGAGCTGCCGCTAACCAACTAGCTATGCTTCTAACGATTGTAATTGATTGTAATTCGGAAATTATTTTTATAATTGAAATTTTTATCACTAATTACTTACACTTGGTGGAAACGATAGTTTTTCACTTTTTACGATGATTATGGCTCGTTTTGTTTCTGTTTTTCCTTTTTTTCTTGTGGTTTTTTTTTTTCTTCTCTTTCCTTGATTACAAACGCATTTTCATTATTGACAAATGACTGCTTCATAAAATGTTGTCGTTAACACCTCGATAATGCTCGTAACTTAAATAGTGACAATGATAATGATAATGATAATCGTAACAAAAAATAATAATGACGTTAACAATGAAAAACAAATAATTGAGATTACATATAAGTAAGTAATTGCGTGAATATTAAATGTTTCGCAAAGTCTAATACGCGTTTCGAATGCAATATAATAAATAAGTTACTTCGAAAGAATTAAAAAAAAAAAAAATTAAATAAATAAAATTAAAGGCAATTAACGTAAGCGTTAAAGCCCTGCCGTGCATACCTATCGCCCATAGTGAAGGTAATATGTAAATTAACAAACCCCCTCTCTCATATTTCTTCGTAAAATAATTCACGGCAACATGCACCGAAACCTGTTTTATGTTCTATTGAAGCTCTTTTATACGAAGCTTTTAAAAGTACAATTATATATGATAGCCTAAATATCATTCCACACATACGTGCATATATAAAGTAGCACATATACAAATGAAGCAAGTTAACTTCAAATTTTTTTAAATGAAACCGCTCTCTCTAATTTTCGAAAACAATAAGGATATAGGAAGTGGTCGAACCATTTTCAGTGCACCGATCCTTATTGAAATTCTAAAAACTTACGGCCCATAGGTCGAACACAAGAAAACAAGACAAATGGACGGACAGGCGGACAGCCAAGCTTGGATCGATGCAAAAAAAAAAAGATGAATCCACATCAACACTTTTCCGAGTATTACATACATGCGCACAAACTTAATATACGTTTGTAGCACAAACGGCTTTTAATCGAATGGACGAATATTTTGAATCCTCGCTAATATAACCATTTCTACGAAAAGCAATTTGACATAAACAGCAACAGTGTGTAGCAAAGTTGAATCAAGTACATCTCTTTTTTTTTTTTTATGTCGCAGCCCCTATAGAGCGATTCTAAGAAAAAATAGGCTTTTGTATGCAAAGAAATCGAATTTATAATATTTTGTAATTAGAGCAATTTGGTAAGCGATTTGTATTTCGACACCACATGCGATTCCCATGAATGGCATTTAATTTACCACAATAGGAAATGAAAAGTTTTATTACGAGGATTGATGGTGTAGACAATTTAATGACCGGCTTTGCCTGATTCTAATGTTTTCAGTTGTCCTTGCTGATTTGCAAATCTAAAGACTTCGATTCAGCCGAATATATGAAAAGTGAAAATTTCTACAGCATTCAGGAGACACGTTCTGTCAATTTATCAGACAAATATACGCACGGTGCGCTACCACAACCACTCATTCTTTAATCATTTCGCACGAGTTTGTGGCAATCTTTCCCGATGTTCCCACATCCAAGTTGAACGTTGATCTCTCTATATCTTCTTTCCAATTACCGCTGTAACAACATATACAGACGGAATACAAGAGAAGTAAAAACACATATTTGGTTCTATGGCGGGTATGCCTAGAATGTGGTCTTCTTTTTCATTTATACAAGTATTTCCAATCAAACATGATTATATTATGTTCGAATCCAATCCTTCCAAAGATCTTCGTCAGAAAGAGTGGTAAATATGTTTAGCTTCCTTTTAAAGAACCATGAACTACTTATCTTACATATCAGGCTATTTCGAAGGGCAGATGTGGCAAACTTACTATGGAGAAATATTTTCTTATTCATCAACGTGCGTGTTAATTGTAAGCATAGCGGATGAAAGCCGATCGTTAACTAGAGTGAAACTTTGCGTAAAAATCAACCATTCCAGAGGTAGCCGGGAAAGATGCGTTACCTTCAATTTGCACAACTGACTGGCAGGTTGAGGGAAGTTTACACAAATACCTCTCTTGCGCCAGATTGTTCGCGTTGGTCTATACGTCTAATTGAAATATGAGCGCTTGCTCAGGCAAAGTATTACTACTACTACTACTACTACTACTACTACTACTACTACTGCTACTATTACGCTCTCGATAAATAATCCTCTATGTAAATATTATGTAAAGCTTCTCAAAAGTATTCCTGAATGCAGGAAATGGAATAAGAAAATTAATATATGTCTGTCTTTCAAAAATGGACGTAATTAAAAATTTCACACAAATTGTAATTGATTTAACTGATATTTGGAAGCGCATTACTTCATCTGAACAAAAATAATATAGAAATATATTCAAGCTTTAACTTTGGTTTTCTTTTTTTTTTTTTTTGATTTCATTTCACGTGCATTTTATATAAAATTTAAAATGTATTTAAGAAATAAAAATAGTAATAATCATAATAATAATACATTTTTTTAACATATATTTTTCTTCTCCCTCTCTTATTGCAGTTACTACAGCGGGTCCTCATGAGAAACGTTTACTTCATGCACTTTTAGATAATTACAATAGTTTAGAACGACCCGTTGTTAATGAATCCGATCCACTGCAATTAAGTTTCGGTTTAACCCTAATGCAAATTATAGATGTGGTAAGTGCGTAATTTATTTGTATATTATAGAAATTTTGCTTTAAACTCTGTAATCAATTACTTTCCATACATATTTAATATGCTTTGACACATTTGTTGCCGTAAGGTATAAAGTAAATTAAGAAAAAAAAAAAAGAAAAAAAAATGAAAGTATATTAGCCATTATGTATTCGGACAAGGTTTTAAAATAAATGAAAAACAATAAAATACGAGAAAACATGATGAGCTTGCTTCTTACACACTTACAGTGGATGACCATTAAAAGTCCCTACATGTCCAAGTATTTATACGAAGGCAGAAATCGTAATTATCTAATTGTCACTTAAGTTGATATTTCTTTCTATCGACCCCGAACAATAATTAAAGCGATAAGTGAACAAGAGAAAGTCAGCAAAATAATAGTATAATAAAGTGTTTAGTAACCATTAAGATAATAAGTGGAAAGATAAAGTGCTCTAATTAAGCACTTGAGTACGTAAACAGTGAAGAAGTTAAAGTTACATACTCCCAGGAATTTCCTTTATTGGAAAAGTGTAAAAGAAAAATCCAATGTCCATAAACAAAGCAATTGTGTTGAGAAGACTTGAAAAAATGCTTCAAAGAACTCTAACAGAAATCGCTTTTAAACTCAATGAATTTTCCCATCAACTTTTATATGTAATCGTAAAATTTCCTAAAAAATTTCCTCAAATCAGAAAAATAGAAATCTATAAGTTTTTTTTTGAAATATTGAAGAATTTTATTATATTTAAGCACTTGAAAATGTTTTATGAACTTTTTAACATTTTCACTCCGTGGTAACCAAGTGTACTTACTCTATATAAAAGAACATTGCAAAAGTGTTGCAATAATTTATCTGACTTTTGCGTGTATATATATATTCGCGCGGGCGCGTATTAAAGTCGCTCATTTTTCATTGGGGAGTGAATGTGATTGAATAAGAAAGGGTCTGGCCCTATCCAGCGTTTGCTTGCTCTGTGAATTTATGTGACTTTCAAATTGCCAAAAACGAACAAAGAGCATTTCAAGTTCATATCGAATATCGTAGTGAGCTAAAATGCATGCGAAATGGGCAAAAGGGTTTAAAAGACAGCCCAATTAATAGAATATTTCTCCTTTTTTTAAGCGTTATTCCATCATTTTGCACTTTTTTACATCTTTCCCAACACGCACGCCTACAAACACGGTATAGCGTTTTTTATTTTCTTTCTCAGTATTTATTAGATGCGTTCGTTTAAATCTTTAAAGCAATTGCCTTTAAAACTCACTATGCCACGTAACTTAATTTTCTTGGACGCCAGTGCGAACTTTGCCATAGGCTATGGAGCTCTTGCTAGTTCAATTATGGTCTGCTTTGCACGTTATTGGCATAGTTCGTTTACTTTTCATCACTTAAGGTTTTGAGGTGAGAGTTTACCGCTAATGTCGAAATATAAAACGTAGCAAACAAATGTCGGGTTCGTTATTACATGTTGCTCTCGCTTGACTTTTATTATTATTCGTTGCAGGAAACTTCTTCATTAGTTTGCGCACTGTTTATCTCTTCGTAGAGGTGGCGGACTTTTACGAAATAGGTTTTCATTTTTAATGCTCCCTTTTATGATCTGAAAAAAGAAAATTCAAACACATCCTTTGCACGTTCACTGACAATCAAAACTGGCGCTCGATATCACACCCGCTTTGATTTAAATACCCTATAATTGCGAGCACTTTTTTTTTTTTATCGAACTATTTTAATGTTGATTACTGTTAAGGGCATCGAAAACGGAATCTTACAAATTATTTGAAATCACTCATCAATAAAATTCATGCAATTAAACATGTAAGCTCCAAAACTCATTTAAAGCAATTAAATTCGATTTATATATATATATAGCGAGATAGCGAGGTTCAACTTGGACCGAGTGCTGGTTATACAAAATCGAAGAAAGAAGCGAAAGAAAAAAGTAAAATAATAGAAATGAAGACACTTTAGGAGTAAATATTAAATAATCATATGGGAATATTAAGCCCCCTTCAATTCAGCTGATATCGCTTCTCCGTTTTACAAATTGTTTCAAGTGTTGATACAAGCACTTCCTAGCAGAAAAATGCACATCAAAAGAGCAGAAGTTGAACTGGTACAAAGGCTAAATATTAATAATAGGGTAATGTTACATAGTGAGCACAAAGTTACGAATCATTCTTTCGGATTTAGTGACGCAAGATCAATGATCAATGCATTCGGGTATTTTTGTTTTTTTATGCATGTTTGGCACAACTTTTGCTTTTCTTTTTCAGGAGAACTTGGCTACAGTTTTTATTTTTTCTTGAAAAACTTGGGAGCAATAGATTCGAAAATATTGGTTTCAAACAAATAGAAACGTTAGGACACTTCGCTTAATGCAAGCAATCTCAATAGCATTCGTTCTTCGGCAAAAACATGTCAGTGCACCGAATCTCACTAGAAAACCTAGAAAATTACGACTTCGAGAAAATACACGGGCAGACATCGGCAGATGGGCAGATGAACAGACGGTATACTAAAAAATAGCTCTCTCTCAAAGTACGTCGGGGTTGTATACATTCGTACAAACTTTCCTAAAAGCACTCATCAAATACCGTCTATAAGGCTAGAGAAAGTTCTTATGAGTTTTTTGCTGTAATTAAAGCGCAATCTATTTAGGGATACGCGTAGTTCGAAAAAACAAGCCAGATAATCGTCTTTTTTAGTATAAAGACATCGGCTTCTCATAAAACCTTTTAGATATCCCTCTTGAATATTTAAGAGATCATTTAAGTAAATTAAACAGAAAATCATTTAAAAATAACTGTGCAAGGTAACAAGGTAAGCGTTTAAAGAACGATGCGAAGAAACTGTAAATAGATGGGGTTGTATAATGGGCTACCTCTAAAATTCTTTTCGTGTCTTTGAATTCAATTCAGTTTTGATTATCTATTTGTAAGCATTTTACGTCGTGGAAATGTCCAAATGTATTCCCGACTGTTGCAAATGGTTTGAAAAACTTTTTGTACCCGTTACTTTTGGAAAAAACAAAAAAATCGCTTCAAATTACATAGAAAATACATGCAAGCCTTTTCACGACAGGGATAAAGTAAAACGCAATTCTATTCGCAAAATTTATGTGTAGCTATTAAGTGCGTTGAAATTTGTTAAATTGCATTTGCCCCTCAATTATTTCTCTGTAGATTCTATATTGTTTTCATTTATTTTTTCGCTAGTAAATGCCGCAAATAAATAAGTGAGAAGAAAAAATAAAACAATAATTATAGTATAGTAGCGTTATATTTATTTTATCAAAACAACCGGCACCTGCAAAAAGAATATATTTCTGTGGAGATTCATTTAATATCAACAATCAAAAGCCACTTAAATGTTCCCATGCACGTATAACTAAAAGCCATTTGACTGGCCACTAAATGCAGCGTCAAGAACCACTAAACATTATAAATGCAATCATTTTGCTACTAGTACTAAAAATATTAAAATATAAAAAAAAAAAGAAGACTGAAAACTTTCGGAAAATAAAATACATCCTTCACGTGAATGAAAGCTATACAACGAAATCAAGCAGTTTTCAACAGTTGCAACGAGCGTCCAAGAACATACAATGTATTCTTCTCCTTTTACTTTCTTAAATACCTTTATTTTCATTTGCTTCTTTCTCAAAGAAATTAAGTAGACGAGAGAGAAATAACGATAAAATTTAACCACACTTTGGCTGATGCTCATAAAATGCACTTACAACCGAGCGCAACAACACGAAAAGAAATTCTTTAAAAGTTTTGCCTCTGCTCTCTTACATATTATCTTAAAAAAAATAAAATATTTTTCTATTTTTTTAAATTACACAAGTGAATATTTACAGTCACTTACTATGATGGCAGCTGGCAATAGCAGTAGTAATAGCAGTAGCAACAGCTACAAGAGCAGTGATATTAGTAGTAGTTGTCGTAGTAGTAGCAGCAATAGTAGTAGTAGTAGTAGTAGTACTAGTAGTAAAAGCCATAGAATAGCAATGCTGGTGACGTTAACGATATTTGTGGTGGTAATGATGATGATGATGATGATGATGATGATGATGATGATAATGGTGATGATGATGATGATGTTGATGCTACATTGTAGTGATGACCATGTTAAACAATGACAAGAAAATGCATTTTCTTATACTTCTTCCCTTGCGTTTGCTCTCCTTGTCGTTGCCTGCTATTCAAAATGAAGCACGCAAGTGCTTGGCCGACACAAGTAGGAAACTAAGTTTTTTGAGGGAAAATATTTTCTTTTTGAAGACATCAAAAGTGTCACTTATCATGTGATTTATGTTTGTAATTTGTGTTTGCATAAACGAATATAACTAAAATTCTTAAAAGTTCTTCTAATGTTCAGGAAGATATTAAAAATTTTTTAATAAAAAATAAAATTTTAATTGAATACAAAAAGCAGACGAACAAGAAATAATAAGAAAAATTCAATGGGGAACCTCAAAAGCATGTTTTCGCACATTCAAAAGAGCCAAGCCCGTAAAGAGAATGAAATCCAAAAAAAAATAAATAAATAAATAAATAAATAAATAAATATATAAAGAATTAAAACGTATTTCATTTACTTACCGAAAGGACATAGAGCGCTTCAAAGTTTTCATCAAGAAGCCGGAAATTTTCGTCTCCTTTGCTTGCAACTTTTTTTATAAAATTATTTTCGCAAGTTTTTCCTATCTCACATTTAAATATCATGATATTTTATGGCCTGTAAGAGATAAATTCTATTTTATGCAATTTATATTTATATTGCATTAAAGTTTTCCAAATCATACCAATTAAATTCTTAGTACTGCCTCATAACATATATAGCGCTATAAAAAAAAAAAAAAAAAAAAAAAAAACTGAAAAAACGACACTATTTCGTGAAATAAATAAGACATTTGAAGAAAATTTCATATCTAGAAGATTTGCATTAAAAGCGCTAACAAAATAATTCAAAAATACTTTTTTCACTTTTATTTTATTTTAACTTGCAAACTATTGCTAATAAAGTCATTGCATTTTTTTTTGTCACTTTGAAAATGCGTTCGCAAACTTCTAAACAGATACTAAATCAAAATTCTCAT